CTTCTATCATCTTCACATCACCAGCAGTCAAATAGTTCCTCAGTCAAGTACCTACCCTAGCCCAGCTATTAGGTTTGCCTTCCCTTAGCCCCTAAGCATATGATTAAGATTGTTTTAAATTTATTCTTATTGTAGAGTTACCTCATAAATGTATATTGTATTTCAATTAAAAACGAACTCCTTAAGAGTAAGGAAGGCGGGGCCAGCCCCACGGCTTAGTGGTTAAGTGCGCGCGCTCTGCTACTGGTGGCCCAGGTTCGGATCCTGGGCACACACCAACACACCGCTTGTCCAGCCATGCTGAGGCAGCGTCCCACATACAGCAACTAGAATGATGTGCAACTATGACATACAACTATCTACTGGGGCTTTGGGGAGAAAAAGAGAAAAAAACGGAGGAGGATTGGCAATAGATGTTAGCTCAGGGCCAGTCTTCCTCAGCAAAAAGAGGAGGAGAATTGGCATGGATGTTAGCTCAGGGCGGATCTTCCTCACACACACACAAAAAAAATTATAAAAAAAAAAAGAGTGAGGAAAGCAAAATGGGAAGAGAACTAACATTCACTGTTGTGTGTCTTATGTGTTAAGCACTGTCCTATTTTATATAAATGTCCTACAAAATATATCACTTAATCCTCACTATCACCCATGTGGTAGCTATTATTACACCTATTTTACAGATGAAGAATACAAAGTTTGGAAAGGCAAAGTAACTTGGCAAGACCATAAACTCGATAACTAGTTGAGTCACGTCCAAATGGCTCCATGAAGCTCGTGCTGTTTCCACTACAGCCTGCTACCGCTTCAGGCCTTCTACTCACACACTCACCAGAGTACTTAGTGGTACAGGAAGAGAAGACATTTAAGTGCTTTTTTGACTTGAACCAAGTTGAAGGATTGATAAGAAGGTAGCCCCAGTACTTCAGTACTTCAGTACATGACTTTAGAGAAGTAGCATTTTGCTAATAATATTTTATGACCAAAGTCTGGTCCTGTCTGTGGCTCTTAAGAAAATAGAAGGAAAATAAAGAACTTGGCCAACCGGTGTTATTATCAAAGTTGTTCACGTCTGGATCACACTTTGCACCACCAATCAGAAGACTAGGAACTTTCTAACATGCTGTACTGATGAAAAGAAAGATCTCAGATTGTAAATGATTTATTAAGTTGACTTGTGTGGCTATATTAAAAAATGGTCACCACAGAACTGCATTTTATATCCTTTTCCCTGAACAGGGGGAAAAGGTTTTGATAAGCATCTTATTGTACTGTCTATCACTTATTGCATCCTTATGAACCATATGCTTATCTGATGAATCAGCAATATTTCTGCTCCTTGGAGAAGCCATAGTTGAAAGCTGAAAAAAGAAGTGTCCAAGGCTTATGTTATTTTCCTTTTAAAATGTTTATAATTTATGTTGCTTAAAACTTCAAATGAAACAAGTTTCTTCTTTTGCTTAAAATAATCCAGAAGAGAAACTCAAAAATTTACTACAGTAACTTCAGACAGAAGTCAGTATCTAAAATCACTAAACTGTTTTTCATGCTCCTTCACCACCCAATATAAATCTGATATCTTAGTTACATTTCCTCGGCAGAATTTAAACACGATAACCATATCACTTTGAGAGAATTTCATTGTGTATTATTTGCATGCTGTAAAAATACAACAAGAGGGAGCAAATGGTTAAATGTTGATTATTATCAAAGTCCTAGCCTTTTGAGTAGTGAGCTTGTTACAGCTTACTACATTATTAAAAATAATTAAATAACTCTCTAAATGAATAAATGCAGGTTATACATGCACCAAGATGAGCCTGTGTGTGAATTAAGGATAAAGATTAATCATATGTCCGAGTCCAAATTTTTAAAAACGGCAGAAAAAAACAAAAATTAAGCAATTTAACTATAAAATAGGAGGTATAATAGGAGACAGAAAGGTGTGCAAACCACAAAATAGTTAGATTTAGAAAGCTCCAAAAGGCACAGAGAAAAGGGACTAAAATTTTTAAAATAGAGAAGATAGTAGTTCTGGTTCAATCACATTCCCATTGATACTGCACATAAGTCTTGGCTGTTGAACTTTGCCCCTGTCTAATTCACTGATATAAGACTCATCATCATCTTTCATTTGGAGAATCACTGATGTGCCAGTTATTTACATTAGGGTCTTTCCTTCACTTTCCTCTGACTTCCTCCACCTTAAGTTTTCTCCCAGTTTTTGATTACCATTCATGTTTTCTTAGCACAATTCCAAATTCTCTGTACTTCTAAGTGGCCTTTTAGCTAAAAATTTCAGAGCCATACAAAGGTTATTCTTAAAGTACAAGAGGACACACCATGGATTAACTTAGCACTACCTCCATAAAGATGTCTAGGATGCTTAATGAATCATATTTAATGACAATAGCAAAGAAGGAAATTCCAGGCCTACCTGACACACATGGCCTGTCCACAAGAGAAAAGAGTTCTTTTCAATCCAGCTACCACCAGGCCTCACTCCAGAAACCCTCCTTTGATAAAGCTGATATTGACATGCATCTGTTATATCTTTAAATAAATATATGTGTAGAGAAGTTGTGACAAACATAGGTTTCTAGATCAAAAACACTGACATTCAAGAATGAGGGGTTAAAGAGACCAACTTTACATGGGGGCTATAAAGAGTAAGATTTCCTCAAAGGTAATAAAAGCAACATACAAATAAATTCCAAGATGGGGAGGAGAGAGAATCTTAAGCAGTTACTAAGGGAAGTTGGGGATGACTGAGATGCATCTGTAGATTTCCAAGTCCTGCTGTTAGGCCTGGAAAGGAGGAGAAAGAAGGAACTTCCATAAGCAAGACTCTACAAATGGTGTTTAATTTAACTCAGTTCAAGAACATTTACTGAAGGCATGCCCTGTGTGAAGCACTGGTGATGCTGATTCCCACCTTCAGTCAGTACTGAGTCTCCAAGAACTAGAAGGAGAGAAGTGCTAAGCTGTCAAACACAGTCTATTTCCCAAGGGACTCAAAGCAGAAAACTATGATAGCTTTCCAAAAGGGTACAGCAAGTTCTTTTCATACCTATCACGGCTATTACCAAGCATGCATACCAGTGCTTCACTTCTAGCACATTTAATTACAGCACCAGCACTATTCAGTAGAGTCTACTGCACCCAAGATCAGAGTGTTTGATGATGATGCACCAATCCACAATAAATCTCTTCCATGTAGGGCCAGTTTTTACCCAGTTTTTCAGATGAGGCAACAGTGACACACAGATTGTAAGACAACTTATTCCAAGTCTAAAGCTAGTTCATGAAACAAATAGGTAACACTCCAAAAAGCTATTAAAGTGGAACAGGAGATTATAAGAAATGAATTGCAAAAAACTGGAACCCTGGGGCATTATTGGTGGGAAGGCAAAATGGTACAGCCACTGTGGAAAACAATATGGCTGTTCCTCAAAAAATTAAACATAGAATTACCATATGATCCAACAATTCCATGTCTGGGTATACATCCCAAAAAACTGAAAGCAGGGACTCAAAGAGATATTTGTACACCAATGTTCATAGCAGCATTATTCAGAAGAGCCAAAAGGTGGAAACAACCCAAATATCCATCGATGGATGAATGGATAAACAAAATGCGGTATATACACACAATGGGATATTATTCAACTTTAAAAAGGAAGGAAATTCTGACACATGCTACAACATGGATGAACCTTGAAGTAAGCCAGACACAAGGATAAGTAAGATTCCACTCATATGACGTACCTAGAGTAGTCAAATTCAGAGACAGAAAATAGAATGGTGACTGCCAGGGGCTGGCTGGAGAGGGGGTATGGGGAGTTACTGTTTAATGGTTACAGAGTTGGGGAAGATGAAAAAGTTCTGGAGATGGATGGTGGTGATGGCAGTACAACAATGTGAATGTACTTAATGCCACTGAACTGTACATCAATAAAAAAATTATAAATAAAAGTTATTTCTGCCATCATTTGCATTGTCCTGAAGTACATCTATAGTTTTAGAATTTAAAAAAGAAAAAAATAAATTGCAACTTTTCCATGTTTTTTTTCTTTTTTTTTTTTGGTGAGGAAGATTAGCCCTGAGCTAACATCTGTTGCCAATCCTCCTCTTTTTGTTGGGGAGGACCAGCCCTGGGCTAACGTTTGTGCCCATCTTCCTCCACTTTACATGGGACGCCACCACAGCGTGGCCTGACAAGCGGTGCGTCGGTGTGCGCCCGGGATCCGACCCCGGGCCACCAGAAGCGGAGTGCACACACTTGACCGCTATGCCACGGGGCCGGCCCCTACTTTTCCATTTTTACAAGAAAAAATATTGTGTACTCGCGTTAGAGACCACAACTTACTTATGTATCTCTTTAGAATCTTAGTGAACCTAAATGACCAACACATAAAATTATTCAGGAAAAAAGGAACTCTGCAATGACTGATTACTATGTCTGATTAGCTATTATTTTATAATCACAAATTCTCTATGACCAAACAATAAACATTTCTACTCATCATAAAAAAATGGAGATAAATCTGCATAATATTAGTGAATGTTCACTCACTCACTGTTTCCAGTATCATCCAACTCACCTTTATAATAAGGGGGGGGGGGGAGCTACTCCCATTTTTCTGTTTCAAAGGTTTTCTAATTTACTTAACATCCCATTCTCATACACTACGTCTATTGAAAGGCTTCTCTCTGTGATCACACTCTGTTCTCCCCTACTTAAAACTGAGAAAGGAAATAAAGGCCTCATCAGACATAACCTTGATCATGCCACCGCTCTGCCTGGTGATGCCAGCCGCAAGTCTGTTGTCTTAAAGGTTAGAATAATTTGTAACTAACATGAAAATATTTTGATTGCATTTCTAGAATGTATATGTTGGCATAGCATTTCATATAATTCAGTTAGGAAAACTAAGAAGATTAAAAACCCCATTAAAATAATTACAAATACACGAGCAAGAAACAGACAAAAAATTACAAACCTTCTTGAGAAGACACAATGGGTGGCATGTAATCAGGAATGTATTCTTTTCTTTCTTCCGCATCTTTACTTCCAGGTTGAGGAAACTGAAGTACATTGTTCTTGCTAACAGGAAACGAAGGAATTTGATGTGGGAAAGTGACGGGTTCAATATTGTGAATATAGTCTTCTAGTTCATGGAGACTAACCCCCATAAGTTGGAAAGCTTCACCAACATCATCCAAAATTGGGTCTGTTCGGCCATCTGAAACAAAGTCAAAAGCAAAGCAAATTATTTTAGGAAAATTCCATGAATATTTTTTAAAATATTAAGAAAAAACTATTAAGTAAATATGCAGCTCAGAATCACATATACTATACATTTAAGACCTAGGTATTGGAAAGAATTTAATAGATTTTAAATAGAACACCATATTGTTTAAATATTAGAATGCTGATTCCTAAAGTCAATTTTATATATGATCTGACAACCAACCACAACACCACAGACAATTCATACTAACAATCAGCTGGTATAGAATAAATATCAAAGGAGGTGACAGACGGTCAACAGCACCTGGGACAGTGGCTGACACAAAGTAAATGCCCAATAAATATTACTATTATTATTTTTTATCAAATAACTAGAATGCTGTGCTAAGTAAATGTCCCTTTTCTCTACTGTTCAATAATGTGTCTCTGAAACCTAAAACAGTGGCTGGCATATAGCCGGCACTCAATAAATATTTGTTGAATGAATTATACCATTGAATCAATTTTTCAGATCCAAGAATATTTACAGAAAGGATTTAGATCATAAAGATAATTTACACATACATTTTAAATGTAATTAGAAGACGCCATATAAAATGGATAGAGACAAAAAGATTAAAAGTTAGATACGGCGAGATTCTCTTTACAAAATGAAGTTTCTCCTATGCCTACCCTTGGCAGAACTTAAGTTCTCTACATCTTTTAAAACGTCTAAGAAAATTCCAGTAGCCTACAATATTTTTTTACTGGAATCTCCTATGATCACTTTAAATTCAGTATGTCTGAAACTAAACCATGCTCTGAAATGAAAAAGAATAACCCAAAGTTTGTAAAAATTAGACACATGGTTGCTCACACACACGCAGAAAAGTTCTGGAAGGATATACATCCAACAGTTAACAATCTAGGGGAATGAAAGGTGTAGTACAGGGAAGAAAAGAGTTGAAGCGGGAGACTTTCACTTCTAACTTCAAACACTTCCGGAGTATTTGAATTTTTCTACAAGTATGGGTTACTTCTATGTATAAACAAAATTAATAGTCATTCTTTCTCTTAATGACATTGATATGTATTTCAACTCTTCTGTCCCTATTAAAAGAATTATTATTCTCTCAGTCTAAAAAATATAACCATCTTGAATTCTTCCATATGCTTTGCAATGTCAACCCAAGCCCTTCTGGTACTTTCTGCTCCCTTTTTTGGCCTCAGATTTCAGAATTTTTTCTTTCTCTCTATTTCTACTATCACTATCTCAGTACAGTTTCCAGTTCTCCCCACTTAAGTCTCTCTTGCACTTCACCGACAGCACAGTTTTCTTAATATACCACTTTCGTCACACTGTTCCCCTCCTCAGGAGTATGCAGTGTTTTCTACAAGTGATTTAATTTCTCTGTGTGTTAAGTCCCTCTCGAACCTCATTCACTCTGTTTAACAGTTTCCTCTAACACGCTCCACATGAACTGGCTACACATGTCAAGCTAGCCATCTCACTGCTACTCTGATCACGCTTAACCCCACGTGGGCATCTAGGTTCTGCTTTTCCCTAACCTGACATGTTCTCCACCTTTAAACAACCATACTTCACAGCTCAACTTAAATCTCATCTTTCCTGAGAAGTAATCCTGCCCCAGAACCCACAGCCCACACCCATCTCTCCTTTACTCTATTCCTTTTGCATTTACTGCCTAGACCATGCAATTATTACATTAGAGTACCAGTCTTGAAGAGTCATTCTGAAAGATTTAGCATCTGCTTTTGGTGCACATACAGATATTTAATACATAATACGATATACGCAGAAAATCTGCCCCTGAAAGCTATGACAAATCATTACCTTAGGGGAATTTAAAAATACATTATTTATTGAATTAATAGTAACTTCCAATACTTGCTTTAACTTGAGAACTCTTTTTTTTTTAAAGGAACAAATTCCATCAGTTTGTTTTTGTGGACATTTTGACACCCTTGTACACGCCTTATGGGCAGGGATTGTGCCTAAGTAATTTCATGTCTCCAACATCTAGCACAGAGCTTAGTTCATAAGTGGTGTTCAACAAATGTTTGTCAAAAAGACAAAAAGGATTTAAAGGAATAGAATATAAGACTGCACAGCAGTAACCTGAGGTTACAGAATTCGAGTTTAAAAGTAGGATAGTATAGCAAAAAGAATCTAAAAAAGCCTGTAACTAATAAGTATAACAGGAATTAGCATTTTGAAAAAGTCACCAAACCACAGTGGGGAATAATGTATCTGATAATTGCATTCTCACTAAAAGCAAGAAAATCGACTACAGAAAATTGGGTAATTAGGAAAAAGGTTCACATTAACGCATAACAATGATCATGCGATGACTGTGGAATACCTGACGACTTGGAGCACCAGCACATACTCTTGTTCTGTGTATAAGGCAGGAAAGGTAACTATGTATTCAGGGGATATTTTGATTACCTAAAGGTACAGGACATCTGTCTTATTTAAGGAACTCGGTGGCAAAAATACAATCTGGACTAGGCATAACCGTAACAGTATACTCAAGGACCATGAAGGGGGACGAGAGGGAAAAGAAGCAAAAGCCAGGGGAGTAATGTGCTGGTGGGGTACTTTCAAGATAACAGTGAATGAGAGTTACTTGGGAGTTCCAAATTTAGATTAGAAGTATCAGTGAAACCAAGCATTCAAAAACTACACATTTTTAAAACTCAAAAAGTGAAGTGGTTAAATAGCTATTATGGTAGTGGGTTATCAGTTCATTCATTTATTCAAATATTTCCAAGGTGCCTATTATATTATGGCACCATACTAGGTTACAGAATACAAATAAATTTGTCTCCTGGGGAGGAGGAAGGAGAGGGACATACACAGATGATTACAAAACAAGGTGTTGAAAAACATAACAGAAATATGCAGAGAATTATGAGAGTAGATAACATGAGTTTCCTAAAGCAAGTGATAAGTCAATCTCAAAATATAAGTAGTACTACTGGTGGACCAGGGGGCAAAGACACTGTAGGACACAGCATGCATATAGGCATGGATAGCTTAAAATGTTCCAGAAGAGGCAGGTAGCTCAGCATGGTTGCAGAATAGGATGGCAGGACGGCAGAAGATAAGCAAAATCCTAGTTCACAAAGGAAACCGAGCACTGCTTAAGAGTTTAGATTTTCAGCCTGTAACCAATTGAAATATTTTTAAGAATAACACGACCTGATCTGTGTTATGGACAGATTATTTGGGCAGCACTATGGAAGCTGGAACGGAATTTGGGGCTTAAGAAGTAAAGTGTATCCATGGGTCTCAATTTTCCAGTCTAGGAACTACTTCTAACAAAACAAAATATCCTATGAAACACTTCACCCAGTTCTTCAGCTTATCGCCTTAAAAATAATGACCTGAAACTTAAATGAGGAGTAGTTCCCCTCCACACCCACACTTCACATCAATGAGATGATGTGTGGCTTCTATTAAATATTCCAAATTATTAAATGCCATCAGCTATAGACACTACCAGACATAAACTTAACAACCATAAGTACTTGCAGCCCAGATTACCTGGAGAACCTTGTAAACTGCCTACGACCCCTCGACCACACTTCGATGACCACTGACACGAAAACAGAAAGGAGGAAAGCAATGGGCGACTGAGATGTAAATGAAAGTTTTACTGAAACTGAGAAAGTCGGCCTTGAGAAAGAGTCAACGGAGGTGCCGCCTACGAGAACAGATACACAGAGGAGAGGCAGGGTCCCTAACGGAGCAGAGCTGTCAACGAGTATGTGTGGTTATGAGCTGAAGAATGGCCAGCCTGGTAAGAAACGGCCGGTAGACGGAGCGCCTGTGACAACTAGTTGTAGTAGTTTGCGGGCAAGGGAGGAAAAGGACCGAAGTAGAAGAGGCTGTGAGGCATTCTGGAGGTGGTTCTACACGCAGCAAAAACGAGGCGAGGAGAAGGACCGAGGCGCATCTCTGATCAGAGAAGGGTGGGAGCGCGAGGAGCCGGGAGCGCAGGCAGGGCTCCCGGCTGGCGGCGGGAAGTTAGCGGATGACTAGAGTTTCCAGGGGCAGTGGAAGCGGAGGGGCGTCAGCGGCCGAGACGACACCCGATCTCGGGGTGGGGGTGAAGGACCAGCACCTCGGGGACGCCGAGCGAGCGCAGGGGAGCCCCGAGGTGTCACTCGTGACTGGCAGAGGCAGCCCTCCCGCACCCAGCCCGGTACTCACAGAGCTCAGAGTACCGATGGCAGCCCCGTCCCAACTGCTGCAGGTAGCGCTGCAGCACGTCCGTGAGGAGGTGGCAGGCGCTGAGTTGCACCGAGTCCCAGCCCAGCGCCTGGCAGATCTGCGCCACCGAGACCCTCAACAACGACCTGGAGTAACTCTCGCACATCCCGCTCCGTGGACTCCACCGCAGCCCCTGCTGCCACTGCTCTCCACCCCCACGGCCTAACCTTAGCAGAGCCCCCGATTCATCCTCTGGGGCCCCCGCGGCGGGGAAATCGTCCCCCCCCGACCCCTGGCGACCACCTCAAAGCCTCAGCAGCACGGAGCGCGCCAGCCTGAGAGCCGCCATTTTGGACTCGCTCCGCCTCCCGCTGGACGGTCGCCGGGGCGAGGCAGCACTAGCCAAGTGCTGAGCGCGCCGATGAGGAAGCTCCGCCCCGCTGGAGCGGAGCGATGGTGTCGGCATCGGCTCTCGGGCCTGGACGGATGCAGGAAGCGGCTGTGCAGAGCGCAGGTGGAGGATGCGCCCCGGGGGCAGGTGCATGGGGCGCTCCCGGGGGGGCGCGCGTGTGGCGAGGAAGGAAGAGCGGACTGTCAGTGGTTTAGGGGCAAAAGAGGGAGCCAGAACATGATGTTGAAATGGGGTGTTAAAGTGGGAACCTAGGGCCGGCCCCGTGGCTTGGCGGTTAAGTGCGTGCGCTCCGCTGCTGGCGGCCCGGGTTCGGATCCCGGGTGCGCGCCGACGCGCCACTTCTCCGGCCATGCTGAGGCCGCGTCCCACGTACAGCAGCTAGAAGGATGTGCAGCTATGACATACAACTATCTACTGGGGCTTTGGGGGGAAAATAAATAAATAAAATCTTAAAAAAAAGAAGTGGGAACCTGACGGGCGGGATTTGGGGCGTGGGAACTGAAGTGTTCTCCAAAACATGGATCTGACCTGGTCTTGTCTCTGCTCAAAACGAACAAAAAAATTAAGCTACTTACCATAGTGTAGATTAAATCGAGTCCGAGGCAGTGGTCTCTGTGTAAAATTTCTGGGGACACCAAAAAACTTAATCAAGATCAATAATATTTTAATACAATATTTTTTTTCAAAGCCAAACTACTGCCAAAGAAAATCCTGCCGCACGTCATTCTAATCCTAGCCCTGATTCCAATAAAACTTTATTTACAAAAACAAAAGGAAGCGAGAACTCAGTTGCCTACGAAGGCCAAACAGGTAAATCAGTGAAGCAGGCTGAGTGTATGGGGAACTGTTGCCGGCGCCAGAGCTTTCTCCCAGCTCCCGCTCATTGTTGTCAGATCTATCCAATTTGTTAGAAATCAGAATTTTGATAAATACTTTGATTTTTAAATACTGGGAATACATTTTGAAGTTTTAATTTGCATGCCACACTAATGCCACAGTTAGCCTAGCATCAGCCTGTGGATAGCCAGGCTGTAATAGCTGATCTAGTTGGTTTCTTAAATAGGCCTTTTTATGCCTGAAGTGCCCAGGTGGCAACTGTAGCTAATATTTTAGTGGGACTCCTGCTGTGTCCCCTGGTGAAAGCATTCTCCCTTCTGGAAATCGGAACTATCAACCTGGAGAACCCAGGGTTGCAGAGACAAGAACAGTTTCCCAGGGCCGCCCCGTGGCTTAGCGGTTAAGTGCGCGTGCTCCGCTGCTGGTGGCCTGGGTTCCGATCCGGGCGCACACCGACGCACCACTTCTCTGGCCATGCGGAGGCCGTGTCCCACATATAGCAACTAGAAGGATGTGCAGCTATGACATACAACTATCTACTGGGGCTTTGGGGGGAAAATAAATAAATAAATAAATAAAATATTTAAAAAAAAAAAAGAACAGTTTCCCAGATGGGTCACTGGGAGTGATGGTAAGTGGGGAGACTCCAGCTTCCACCCCAAGTTGTTTACATATCAGGAACCCAGCACCACAGACAAGTCGTTGACTTCAAGTGTATGCAGCATCCTGGGGGGCTACGCCCCATCCTCACAAGTACTGCCTGTGAGCTGGTAATTTACCTGTGCCTTCAAAGGCCTTTCCATTGCTCTCCTCGGCTAACAGCTTTGGAGTGGTGTGGTATGTGATAGGACCAGTAGATGTGGCGGTTGTATACCCACTCCCAACCTCCTTCATTGTAAAGGGGATCCTTTGGTCTGACACAGCGTGATATGGGACACCAGTACATCCAACACTGTGAGCAGGAAAGGCAAATCTATACCCAGAATATGGGTCTATTCCTATCAAAGTGAATGGCTGCTCTTTCTAGGAAGAAAGGGGCCACTGTGGTCAACCTACCAACAAGTGGCTAGTTGGTCTCCTTGGAAAGTGTATTAGTCAGCTCAGGTTGTCATAATAAAATACCACAGACTGGGAGGCTTAAACAACATTTATTTTCTCACAGTTCTGAGGCTGTAAGTCCCGGATCAAGGTGCAGGCAGGACTGATTCCTCTGAGGCCTCTCTCCTTGGCTTGCAGGGGGCTGCCCTCTTGTTCTCTCTTCACATGGTCTTCTCTGTGCACTCTCTCTTTGTGTCCTAATCTCTTCTGATAAAGACACCAGTCAGATTGGATTAGGGCCCACCCTAACAGCCTCATTTTAATTTAATTACCTCTTTAAAGGCCCTCTCTCCAAATACAGTCACATTCTGTGGTACTGGGGGTTGGGGCTTCACCTATGAATTTGGGGGACACAGTTCAGCACATAGGGAGTCAGCGTTGGTCTCTGTGGCAGGCAAGTGGGTTCGACACTGCCCGATGCTCTGCCAGGTGGGAGGGTTTCCCCTCACTGATGTCTTGCAGGGCCACATGGAGTAAGGCTATGGCAACAGTCACAGCCACAGTTTTTGGCTTGCATCTGCATGCCGAGCCAGTTCGTCCATGAACTGAGCTAAGCTTTTCGTCCTGCCTGCTCTGCTGGTCATAAGGAACCCCCATGCAGCCACTGGTCTAAAGTGAGGGAGAGTGGTGGTGCATCGTTAATGATGGACCTTGGGGTCTGGCCTACCTTCTCACGCGCTTGCTTGTGCCCTCCCAGCTCTGCTCATGACAGGTCCTGAAGTACCACTTTTGTCTTAGGATGGATTGCCGCTAGGCTTGACTTTTTGACATAGGTCTGACAGAACCCAGCTCGTGATGGGCAGTTCTGGTTTCATAGTTGGGTAGTGCCCATGGTCAGACACTCCATCTCTAGCGGGGCCCACTAGCATAGCAGGAGCTGGTTTTCAAAAGATGTAATTCTCCACTACGTATGTCATGGACTTACTCTAGAACCTAGGGGTCTGCGTTGCTACTTCCCGTTAGAGTTGGCATCACCTCCACATGGAGTATTTTCCCGTCATGGATACCTCTAATAACATAAGGTCTACCAGGTTATATGGCCCAAGTAGGGGGGAAACTTGCACTGCTCCGGAACCTGCTCCAGAACACTTTCCTACTCTGGGCCCCAACTCAAAATTGGCAGCTTTTCAAGCCATCAGTGTATGGTTAAGAGCAGAATTCCCACGTGTGGAATATTCTGCTTCCAGAACCCAAAGACGCCTACCAGGCATTGTGCTTCCTTCTTCGTCGTGGACGGTACAAGATGCAACAAGTTACCCTTTGCAAGAGCTGTGCCAGCATGCCCCAGACCGCTGGACCCTAGAAATCTTACTGATATGGTGAGCCCCTGAATCTTTGTAGAGTTTATCTCCCACCCTCCAGAACACATGTATCTTACCATGACCTTTTGTGTACTAGCCGCTTCTTACTTATCATGATTGCATTCACCTGGCTTCTGACTCATCTGCAGTTAGAGCACTCCCACCTGGCCTCTGTCATTTTAGGGTCCTGTCATCCCCATATTTCTTGCCTACCTGAACACTGATGTTAACCGCCCAACGTGGGGCCTTCTGCTCGCCACAAGACATGCTAATAGTCAAGAGGCAAGGTGGTAGGAAAGAAAGGACTTTTTTATTACAGCTTGCTAGCAAGAGGGAAGATGGCCGAGTAATATCTAAAAGAACCATCTTAAGGGGGCACAAATCTTACAGTAGTTATCTAGGCCGGTGGGTTATAGGGGAGGGGGTTAGGAATGTTGACCTTCTGGTCTTACAGACTGGGAGTCGCCACACCAGATCTTTCAGTTTTCACTGATGATGGCTATCAGCACAGACTCTCTGTTCGGGGGTCATCACATTCCTAAGGAACTCAAAAAGGCAGTTATCATCTTATCACAGCTGGAGGTACATGCACAAGCAGGGGTCGTAAAATCTACAGAGCAGGTAGATCTGGAGGGAGCATATGCAGCTGGGTTAGTTTGTCAGACGTCATTCAAAATTACAACAGAATTTTTCTTTTCAACAATATGGCTTCCCTTATGTCAACTTTGTCTTGAGCCGGTATCACTGATACATCATACCAGCTTGTTTCCCCTGTTGTACTACCCCAGTTCACTAGTGGTAAAAGTTTTACAACCTGCACATTCAGGAACTACTTACTACCTTGTGCCGGGGACTTTTTGTGCTCTGCCTACTACATGGCCATCCAGATGGCTGATCCAGCTCCCAGATCCCTTCCATTATCTTAGTATCTGCTTCCTCAAGCCCTTCTGGTACAAACTGTGCCAGTTGGGCTCTGCAGGAAGCAGTCTCTGAGGTGGAGATTAGCCTGCAGAGGCATGCCCTTGGGATCACCACCTGGGGAAGGGAAGGGCTGGAAAGGAAGTAGCGCTGGGGGAGGGAGGTGTTGGGCTGCCGGCCCACCCTCAAGGAGGACCTTGGCGACCCCTAGAGAGCTGTAAAGCTGGGAAGGCCCTTCCTTGTCGTGAGTTCAGGTACGGGGGCCTGGCCTTTATACTCCCACACTGATCAGGTACTGGATGTGGGCGTCCCAGGAGGGGGCCATGATCTTGGGCAAGGCGGTCTCCAGTGGAGGCAGTTCCAAAGAAGACTGACAGCTGAGGGCTGTGTGTGGACAGCATTCGCAGCAGCTGGGTGAATATGTCCTTCAGTCCTGCTGAAGCGGGATCTGGGAGGTGCATCACAGCTTCCGCCAAACCGTAATACCATTATCACATGCAGCAAACTCAAGATTGATACGATAATATTATCCAATAAAAAGTGCATATTCAGATTTTCCCATTGTCCCCAAATGCCTGTTATATAGCTTTTTCATTTTTTTCAATCCAGAATCTAATCAAGAATCACTCATTGCATTTAGTTGTCATGTCTCTTTAATCTCTTCTAATAAGATCAATCCCCCTGATTGTGTGGCTTTTGTTTGTTTTTTGGTCTTTCGTGATATATACATTTTGGCAAAGTCTAGGACAGTTATGTCGTGGAATGTGTCAGGATCTTTGTTTTCTCACTTGATGAGTTTCACGT